TCAAACACGAACAAAACTAGTCACTGATAATCAGGGATAAATGGTCGCACAGCCAATCTCTTACCCTAGAACTGTAAGTTGCACTATGATCAACATAACGAACAGCCTTATTAAAAACGCCGCAATTATTTTATTTTTCACAGAATTCTATTGATTATTAATTAACGCATATACCCCCTCACATGTTGTAAGTGTAAAGTAATAACGTTTAAATACAAAATTAACGAACAAATGAACTAAATATGTACTTAACAGCTAAACCACGTCTTTTCATTTCACATCGTTTGTATACCCGTATTGCTTAACGACATTTTTTATAATGATCTAACGCATCAAAGGAATTATTTGTGAACTGTGTGTGTGGAATGTGAGGTGTCGTAATAAAACGTAAAAAAAATAGTAACTGAATTGTTTCTCCTTAATTCATGAAAGGACAAACAGTGGGTGATGCCTTGCTGCATCATTGAGTTCCTTTTCCTATTTTTGATCTTATGATTGGTTTGAAATTGTGTGTACGATCAGTAAAATACCAATCTGTAATTTCTGATTTTCAGTTATAGTCTTCACAGCTCTTTTAATCATTTTATCATTAATAGACGTTAATTAAAAATTATGCTTAAATTTACCATCTTGAAAGATTTCTCCATTGATTTCAATTTGACCTTTAAAAGTTTTAAAATTATCAATTATGTCACGAATCATGTGATCAAATGTTTAATTTTCAATCTTTTCAATCTCTTCTTCAGGTTGTTTTTTTTTCTTTCATAGGTCTAAATTTAGGTGCTTTTCATTTATTACAAATTTAGGTGCTGTTGTTTTTATTACAAATTTAGGTGGTTTGCGCACTAGCGTGGCAACTTTTAGCTGTTTAATTCGTGCTCCTTTCAAACTGATTTTTCCTTGGGTATTTTCCCATGTTTGTTTGAAAATTAAACTCTTTTTTAAAAGAATCAATTTTAATTAGTAATTCATTTAATATTTCATTAAATTCTCTATTGTAATTATTTTGACTGATTTACTTCATTCAAAAAAAATAAATAATTTATCTAAATGTGTTTTTATTAAATTTGTTTTTGTTTTATAATGTTTTCTTTTTAGAGGTATAGCCAATAGTAATTAATCCACATTAGGATGTTTGAACAGCTGTAAGTGCTCCTAAGATAGCTGGAATAAATAACGGAAGGGATATACTTACTGTTACTGCAGTAGATGCCGTTATAAAACTGATAATAGCTGATATAACACTTTAAAAGTTTTAAAAGTAGTGTCAATCTTAGTCCAACGAGTTTTTAATTTATTATAATGTTTTAATTGTTCTTTTAACTCGTTTTGTTTAGATATCATAACATCTTGTAGATTTTGTGATGATTCAATTTCGTGAGGTTCTTCAGTTTCAGTAGTATCCATTCTTTATGAATTAAATTAAGTGGATTTTTGGTAAACCAATATTATTACATTTACAGATTTTTATACACATAAATACGCTTAAACAATTACCCATGCACACCCTCACACACTCACGGTGAGAATTAAAACAACTATATAAATATACATACATATTGACATAGTATAATACATTTAATTCAACAAGATATGAAACTGTCAGTTAAATCAAGTAATTTCCAATTACTTTTGATAATATCGTCTCCCTTAAAGGTATTAAGTTCAGTTTGGGCTACGTCTTGAAGATACAAATAGTAATTTTCGATTGTTGGTATTTGACATTGAAGCTTTGATTTGTATAGAAAGTATTTTGTCAATATAATAACATGGTTTACAAATAAAAATTCCGATGTGGTTTTAAAATAATTTTGACAAGAATACCCAAAATGAATATACTTAGGACCGAAATTTACATTAATGCTTCTCTTATTAAAAATTTTTAACGATTCATCCCAACTTATTTTCGAAATCGAACATGGCACAAAGAAATGATCAATAGTTTCTAGATCACTATTACAAAATTTACATAAAGTAGTCTCCAATAAATGCATTTTGAAAAGTTTAAAATTAAGAGGAATGATATTAAGTAAATATTTATATTGAAAATTATGTAATTTTGTATTCTTACATATCCATCTGGCATATTTAAAAGTAGCAGTCAAAATATCGTCATGCAGTATCTCTCCTAGTTTTTCCTCCCATTTAAATATTCCTGTTGGCTTTTGATATTTCATTCTTACATTAAAATCATAAATATGCTTTGGTTTAATATTACCCAATGTTTTGTCATATACAGACATTAATACTAAATTAATATAATCTGTTGGTGTTTTAAAAATTAGGTCCTCTTCCTCATTTATTTTCATCAATTTAATTTTATTACTTATAGTTCTTATCATAAATTTAATACTATGTGATTGTTGAAAATAAATAAAATTGTCTATTAATTTAAAATCCTTAACTTGTAGTAATCCTACAGTGTTCAAAAGTGTATAATTCAGCTCAAGCAGACACAATTTATTATTAAATATAATTTTATTTGATGGGTTTACTGAAAATATCCCTCCAATTTTCAAATAAATTATTATAAAAAGGTGACAATGTATCAATTTTGCTAAAATTAGGGTTATCATTCCATCGTACTCTTTTAAAATCATCTTATAACTTGTTAACCATGTTTGATTACAATCAGTAAAAGGTTTTTGGATCCAAGACTTTATAAATTCTTCTAGATCTATCATACGCATGCCACCTATATCATAATTTTGATTGAGACTGTCTTTTTTAATTTCATCAGAACCATTCCAAATAAAGTTATAAAATATTGTATTGATTTTTTGAATGATTGTTTTTGGTATTGGTTAGGATAAGAATTGGTATGCAATTTTTGAAATACAAAAGGTTTTGATAATTTGAATTTTTCCAATTAACGTTAAGTTTCTACTTTTCCACCTATTAATTACTGCTTCTATTTCTGTCATTTTACCGTGGTAGTTGAATCCATTCATTAGCTTTTCATCATGGGGAAAAATATATGCCTAATATCTTAATATGTTTATGATTTATGTTTCTTCCCAATGATGATAAATTTGTTCCTATATTCATTTCCAATATATTTGTGCCATAACTTTTTATCTTTATCTTTATAGCCAAGAAATTGTATATCAATTGTTACCTCTTATTCAATAGTCTTATTTCTAATTTCTCTAAGAAAAAATTTTTGTTGTGCCATATGTTTTTCAGTAAGACTGATTATTTTAAATTGGAAAAATATTATAAATTTTCTTTGTTGTTGCCTCTGTCCGTCCATCAACATTTCTTGTGGGGGATAAAGGAACTGAGTTTTATAACAAAAATATGAAACCTCTTGGATTTAAAATTTACAGTACATATGATAAAGGGAAAGCCGCAGATATTGAGAGATTTAATAGAACTCTGGAAAACAAATTATTCAAAAAGTTCACAGAATTAAATTCCCAAAAATGGCTTAAAATATTACTTGTTATTGTTGTCGATGAATATAATAACAAAATACATTCATCTATAGGTGTGACTCCTACACAAGCCTCAAAGAATCCCAATATCATATTGTCAATTAATACACGAAACAACTTTGAAAATGAGATAAATAATTTAAATATCAAGGACAACACATTCTGTTTACAAAACTCATAACTGTTAAATAATTTTTTTTTCAAATTGCTGGTGAAAACCTGAAATGTTTTGGAAAAAGTAATATACGCCCACTGGTAGCTTTGATTTTGAATAAAATATTTAGCAGCACAGTAACAATCGCCAGTATGAAATATTCAACCTTCAGTCATACACTTCTTTTGAACTCTTTAGGTCGATACTGAATAATATTGAGTATGAGTTATTGCCCTTGATCGTGTTTAATTTTTATCTCATGAAAACTCTAGAAGGCATATTCAATCTTCAGCGTTGTAATGAATAAAAAAACCAAGTTTTGTCAAAATCAGCCAAGAATCATGCCTTTTAGTGTATTAGAGCTAAAATTTAAAAACGTTTTCAAGAACGAGGTCAATAACTCCTATGAAAAATATTTCGATTTTTGTTATTTTCGATAGGGTTTATCCACGGGTGATAATAAACAAGTTTCGTCACAATTTGTCAAGTATTGTCCCTACTAGAGTGTTTACAAGCTAAATATTGAACGCGTTTTCAAGAACAAGGACAATAACTCATACTTAATATTTTTCGATTTTTCTGATTTTCAATAGGGTTTATCCTTGGGTGATAACAAACACTCATGCCAAGTTTCGTCCAAATCTGTCAAGTATTGTCCCTTCTAGAGTGTTTACAACCTAAAACTTGAACGCGTTTTCAAGAACAAGGACAATAACTCATACTTAATATTTTTCGATGTTTACTTTAGATGTCTCTGTGGCACCATTATTGACGAAGATTTTATGACATTCTGCACCGTGGGCAACATAGAGATGCAAATCACCCAGGATGACAGGATCAACTGTAGTCCAAATAGAAAAAAAAAATTCAACCAAGGCTTCTTTATTTTTACCAACAGCTAAGAAGCTGGACCATTGCTGGGGGATTTTCTGGTCTTTACCATATATCTGTCTCTTTTGGGTACCTTTAGCAGCTCTCCTAGTTCTTTCTGCATTTTTAAAGCTAATGATAGGATACGTATCTGTGACAAAGTCAATTCTATAAAGGTTATGCTGATTAGCCTTTTGAAGAATATTGGTTAGAATGAAATCAGCAAGTTCTCCAAATGTAGATGGTAACTGTTTTGGAAGGGACTGGATCAAAGCCATTCCATCATAAATTTTTGGGCATTCCATCTTCAGTACAATTTTTACAACTACTTTCAATAAGATGAAGGAGAGCAGCTTTATTTGATTTAGCTATTGATCCATTCGCACTCGCAAGAGGGTAAGAAACTGGACCAAGTGAGTATCGCAAAACTTCCTTGAGATCTATACTACGTTGTTGTCCAATAATTAGTAGTCTTGAAAATAATTTTCTATCACTCTGTAATATCACTTCTTTACCAGACTGGGTCTTAGCCTTCATCTTCAATTGACTTGCTTTATTGGATCATATTTCTTCTTATCAGAAGTAAGACGCTCTTCAATATAATTATTTAAGGCAACTTCGCCAACTTCTTCCGCACTCATAAGATCAGCACTGATTTCATCACTAGCAACAACACCTGAGCTTATGCTGGTCATTTCTGGTTGATCATAACTGAATGGGTTTATCATCTGTTCTATACACTCAACAATTCTTTGTATAGAATCTCTGTCACATTTATTCTTTGATGCATCAAGGTGGACTCTATCTCGATTTGTCCCTGTTAGCCCTGCCAAGATTTCACACTGGTGATGTATAGCTGTTCTTTGACTTTGGGACAATATCCATCTTCTTACTGCATTTCTGTTCAATGTAATACTAGTTATTCCCCCTGAAGTTTTAGACTCTCTATTAACTGTTTGTTCAATTGTCTGATCACATGCAACAGCTGAAAATCCATATCTAGTCTGTCGTTGTACTGTCCATTGTCCGGATTCGGTGAGCATTTCAAAAGCTTCTGGATGCGTAGTCTCAAGTGCTATCATCTCCATCTAATACACAGGTAAGTAGCGGGAATAATGTGTTTTATCATACGCAAAATACCATGGTAGCATTGACCGAATAGATGCCACATGCAACTTCCAATCAGATTCTCTGGTTGCTTGAATGAAGCTCAAAAGAATTTCAACCATTTGAAGATAGCTTGACCAAAGAGCATAGATTTTATTGGTGGATGTCTGCGCTTTATCAAAACTTTCATATAAGTTGATGATTTCCAAAAATTCGTCTGAATTTAACAAACTTCAAGTAGATTTCTGATGGAAAGGTAGTAGACATATAATCAAGGAAACATGACATCTTTTCTCTGTTCTAGGTAGATAAAGATTCAACAAAAAAACTGAACTTCAAACGGTGTAGAGCTTCAAACATGAGTTTATGTGCATACATGCAGCGGTTGTAATGTTTTCCTTCCATAACAGCATTAACGGATCCACTAGCTATTATCTCAGCCTCAACCAATATATCTTTCAATCCAGCATCCTGAAACCGTTTCCCAATAATTGAAAGAAATGACATACAGGTGTGGAATTCTCCCAATCTTATCACCAGACGATTTCGAAAAATGTCATTTGTCCATCGGATTTCTTGAGCTTTAGCGTAGATAATTAGATCAAAAACTTTGATTGTCATTTATCAGCCATTTCCGAACTTCGACATAATATAGTGTCCACAGTGTTCATTTCCTTTGGGGAAGCTTCAATCATAGGAAGGTAGGCAATGTTTGTTTTAACCAAGGATTCTGTTGGAAAGCACTTAGTGTTGAAACCAGTCCACCCAGGAAGGTTAGAGTCTGTATCCCCAGTGTACCTCATTATCACAAATGCCAGATCCTTAAGATGTTGTATGTAATGATATGAAATATAAAAACTTTTCTCAAAAACATCTTTTCTAATATCAAAAGGCGGTGTACCTTCTCTCCTTTTTGGTTGATATGGTACTATGTGTGTGGCTGCTTTTGAAAATGGTCGTGGAATTCGTGGTAGAGTCTGCCTCTCCAAAGCTTCTGTAACCATGTCAGAGCTACACTGGATAGCTATTCCATTTGTGTGGTGAGTGGTTCCATGACCTGAAGTAGTTTCCTCACTAAAATCAATATTGTCCCAAACCAGCACGGTATTCAATTTCTCAGAAAAAGAGTCAGGAACAAAAACTGGCCCTTTATTCAATTGCATTTGGGCTAAAGATGTGTCATACCGCACAATAGTCTTATGTGACGAACTGTGTCCAAATCCATTCAGAAGGTCGATAACTTTTTTTGAACCAGTTATGTGACGCAACGTTAAACCGAGTGACAAGGATTTCAGTGTATGCTTGCGACCTTTCGACTGAAGCACAATAATATCCTGAAGAATAGACAGCAGTTTAATATGGGTAACTTCATCAACCTTTACATAATCCTCTAATGTGGGGTCTTCTGATGCACCGATAATTCAAGCTAGAGTATTGTACGAGGAAACAGGTATCATTAATTTGCAGGCTTCCAAATTAAAATCACAAGGCAAAGGAGGCCAACTACCTTCATACCCTTTACATAACTGCAATTCCGCTTTTAACTTTAAGGCGGCAGTGTACAGTGAATGTAGCGTATTGTCATCAAGCTGTTTATGAATGGGCGTTTCACTTGAGTCTGTGGTTTCCGTGTCAGTACCAGTTGAATCGTTGGTTTCACTTGAAAACTGTATCTGATAAGTGGATAAAAATAAAATACTTTGTATTATACAAGGGAGATAATTTACATACTTGTTACAAGTGGTTTTCTGATGCAAAATTACAAAACAAATTATGACATTAATATGAATACTAATGATTCTAATGCAGCAAACAATGTGTACAACTAAATGTACAGATTTTTTCTTTCACGATCGGCAGACTAAAGACAAGCTGGCAGAAAGGATCCATGATGAACTGAAGTCGTCATCCCTGTAAAAATGTTTTTCCTTCATATCATTTCAAATAGAACAGAAAAAAGATCTCACCTCTATGAAGAGGCGTCAACACCATCTTGTTTTGCCATTTTTATGAATGAATCTAGCAACCTAGACATCCTTAACACCTCACCTCCATTAATGATCCTTGATTGTATCACATCTGCACAAAATCTATCCAACGTAGTTTTGTAACAATCTAGATCCACCTGTGACCTATAAAAATAAATGTAAAATATGCATTCTTTAAATAAACAACTTACAAAACAACAGTGGTTGTATGCCACTGGACAAGGGCAAGATTGCACCAAACAGATACAGTGTGACATTCCAATGACTTGGAGCAGCTAAGTAAAGAAATCTATTGGCTAAAAATCAAGATATGTACAGAAATAGGACCTATTCAAACAAATTACATGTTTCATTGATACACAATGTATAGATGTTAAAAAAGTAGTCTGTAAAAATTGGCATGTCAAAAAAAGAAAATCTGACTTAAACTTCCGGAGCTTTACTGTATAAAAAATTTGTGTATTTTTTATAACAATTGGCATGATAATGCTTCAGTATTGACTCATCCTGCTTCTTTTCTGCTGCTTCACGTAGAACTCCTAAAATATAAGTGGATGCAAAGGAACCTAATCTGGTAAATGTACACAAAATGGGGTTCACAATGTGATCAACAATGGGGTTATGTGCAAGAACTCATTCATATGTAAAGGGTTAAAAAAACAAAGCGGCATAGCTGACAATCTGAGACAAGACAAAATAACAACAAAAGATCAAAAATATAATATATATTAGAATACCATACCTGCATCAGTAGTCGTAGTTTGAAGTAAACTGTCCATGACTCTTCTGCCTCGCACCTTTAGACAGCCTGCTTTCTTCTTACATACGATGCACACTTTAGGGAGAACTCTCGAACCACCAGATTTTAATAGAGCAGTAGGACAATGAGAACGCAAACGTTTCTTAGGTGATGGAGTACACGGCGCTGATTTACCTACAGGCTGTGCAGATTCTTCTAACTTTCTCTTACGTTTTACAGCTCGTTCAATATGACCTTTGTATGTAAATTTGCTGTAACACTTGGTATGAAAGCAATACATCTTTGCTGCATCATCTTTACTACCTAAAAGTAATAAAAACACAAAAGCCATAAAACAAAGGCTAATAACAGTCAAAAGGGGTATACAAGTGCCAACTGCTTGAGACAAAGAAATAAAATACCTAATAAATCAATTAAAGGAGATAACAGACTGTTTATTACCCTCTGGTACTAGGAAATGACATAATTAATGTAGGTCAGTAACCTGCCCTAGAACTATTAGAACTGAAAAGTTGTTGACTAAAATGTACCCTATCTCCAAGGACAGGTCTGAATTGCAATTTGAGCTAATGTTTCAAACTACTTGCTTGATACAAAATTAATAAGCAAATTGCAATATGGACAAATACTAGCAGCAATCTGTAGCTAGAATATGGCTAAATAAAGGATAGGCCTATTATGTTTTCATCAGGGAAGCCCAACAAAATCAAAAAAGCTGAGTCAGAGGCTTTGTACTGACTAATTTGTGATCGATAAATTAAGCCTTGTGTACAAAACGATAGGCCCCTACAACAGAAACAATTGGTAAAATTCGATAAAGACCTAGTCTCTTCAGAATGCTTACCTTGAAAAACATCTTTATACAGTTCGGCCAACTCTTGTCTTTCTCCGTCTAGATTTATCCACTTCTGTGCGCAATTTACAACAGTTTTCCAACTATTATCCGAGATCTTCATTTCTTGAATCCTTGAGCACTGTGTGAATTAAACATTTCATCTTGCTGTCTTGGCGTAGAAAGATATGAACGCTTGCCTTGTTGACATTTTATGTAAGCCGCCATTGTTACCCGCGATATCTGTATATTTGGCTTTTGATTGGATAAAAAAAAACCTTGACATTCAAATTGTAATTTGTCGCGCATGAATTTGTGTCTACATACGAAAGAAAATAATCAATTAAAAATTATTTTTATTCGAACAATAGCACAGCTTTAGAGAGGTGGTAAGTTGTTGAAATGTATCTTTTGTGTGATAATAAAGCCAGAAACAAAATTCAATTATTTCATGAGAGGGGGTCTATTAGAAGTGAAAATAAAAACGTTCAGTCCATATACTATAAGAGTGTATTTCAGTGTCTGAACTGGTTTTGGTAATTCGATTCAGGTTAGATGATCCAATAATTAAAGTAAATTTCTTTAGAGCAGAATATGGTTTGGTAGCGGATATAATGGTTGTCGACGGGGTGATTGGTACTGGTTTGGTAATTGTTAGAATTGTAGCATTGGGAACGGACTGGGATCTGGTTCGAGGGGGGGGGGGGGGGAGGTCTCGACTTGGATGGAGACTGAGGGGTTGTTTGCTGGTCTAAAAACGCACAGAAGGAATAAAGGTTGGGGGAGCCTGGTGAAGATTCAGATGGTGTGGAAGGGAAGAAGAGTCTGAAAGTGAAAAGAGAAGGGGAGTGCCCTCTCTAAGAGAGCGTTTACCTATTTTTGCTGGGGTAGGAGTAGGTGAACTTCAGGCTCGTTTAGGGGTTTGGTTCGGCAGCATGGTGGCTCTAGATGGTGCAGGTGTATTGTCCATTTCAGTTGGTAGAGATATGGTTACTCTGGTTTTTGTTTCGTTGATTGAATGGTAGAATTTGGTGATTACAGCTTGAGTGAGATGTTTCCCAAAGGAGCGAATGGCCCAGGACAGGGCATGAGAAACGATGCGGTCGACGGCAGGTGATGATAAAGACGAATGGTGGTCAGCTTCTCTTAAAGTGTGGTTTTGTAATGGTCGATCAGGACCTGCGTAACCTTATAGAGCTATGTCCGATTGAGGGATCTAATATTCGCGTCGACAGCCGATGTTTTCATTGCTGGACGGATAATAGACATTAAGGCAGATTGTGAACATATGTTCCATAGGGATGGTGTACACCTTTCAGACGTTGGGAATGCCATCTTCCTGAATACTTTACAAGGGGGTATTGAATATTTTGCAATAGGAACTGGTATCTGTTATCCTTAAATGCCTTGGAATTTATGTGATGTAACTTTGATTTGAATAATTTGTTGGGGGAATGATTATTGATATAAAAAAAAAAAAAAATAAAATAATTTGTGTCCCATTGGGGAAATGCTTATTGATTTAAAAAAAAAAAAAAATATTTGTGTCTGGTTTGGGGATTGCTTATTGATTCAAAAAAAAAAAAAAAAAAATAAAAAAATATTTTTGTCCTTTTGGGGAGATGCTTATTGATTTTGAATATGAATTTGGATACAAATTGTTTGTCCCATTGTGGAAGCTGTTTTTAATTTGTGCATGGTCATTGATCACAGCTTGGGTGTCCTCCCCCCCTTTCCACTTTGTTGGCGGTGACCAGGAAAGTTCCTGGCCAGTTGGCATGTGCGGACACCAAGCTTAGAATATGATTCTTAGAGTATAATATACCAATTATTTATACAGACAATTAACACAGCATCGATAACCCGAGTTGTGTTAGATATATCGTATTGTAATTTATTCAAATGTGACAATTGTTGGGTCTGGACCCATTTCTTGTTGATTGGTATGTAATTGTTATACTCATTAAGCTGTGACAAAGAACTATGCCAAACAAATCAGAAAATAATAACATTATTATAATGTAAAGTTGGTTGAATAAATTTTTATAATTTATTGCTGTTTCAACTCATTTCTGAAATAATATTATCTGATTGCAGCTTTTCCATCAAGTGCTCTTCTAATACCAAATAATCATATCATACCTTCATTAATTCATTGAGACAGGAATGAAAGATTTTAAAGATGGCAGCTGGAGATGGTGGTCCTATATATTGTTTAATGTCAGCTCTATCTACAAATGCCATATCAATAGCTCCTGTGACATTAGAAGTGGTTAATATTAACACATTGGGAAACCTGAAATTAAAAAAGATTATCACTTTTTAGATTGTTATGATTTTCTGCCTTCAAAATCAAAGATAGCTTGCCAGGCAAGGTAATATACGCCCACTGGCAGTTTTGATTTTGAATAAAAATATTTAGCAGTACAGTAAAAATCACCAGTGTGAAATATTCAACCTTCAGTCATACACTTCTTTTGAACTCTTTAGGTCGATACTGAATAATATTGAGTATGAGTTATTGCCTTTGTTCTTGAAAATGTGTTTTTAGCTCCTGAACACTCTAGAAGGCAATTATTCAATCTGCAGTGCGGTACTGAATAATAAAAGCTAAAAATTGAACACGTTCTCAAGAACATGGGCAATGACTTATACTAAATATTTTTCAATTCTTCTGATTTTCTTTTTCCTTGGATGATTACAAACATTCATACCAATTTCTGTCAAAATCCGTCAAGAATTGTGTCTTGTAGAGTGTTGACGAGCAATTGTGGACGGACAGACAGACAATAAGAGTGATGGTTGCTGTTCCCGCTTTCCCAGCAGATTATCCATATTAAATTTTTCTAATCCGGACTAGTTGGTTTATAGACCTTTTTTTAGCAACTTGGGGAATCCCTTCTAATGTATCCCACAATCCTGTTCGCATGCGCGATTCACGTAGGGCAGACGGCTTGACCTGCATCCCCTTCGATACATGTAAACAAATGCCAGCTCATTGTTGTTGTTTTGGTTGTACCAGTCGACAAGAAAAGGGATCGTCAAATTTAAAGTTTTTTAGAATTTCAAAAGATATGAATTTACAGGATAAGTGGGTTGCCGCAATAAAAAGAGATAATTGGATACCAACTGAACATTCTCGTATTTGTTGTAAACATTTCGTGCAAGGTAGGAATTCGTTTTTTTGACATCTTACATACGGCACTACAATCAATTATTGTTAAAATTGTATTTTTTCTTTTTTTTTTAAACCTATTATTAAACAAATATTACACTGACTTCTTCCAACGAGTCCGATACATTGTAAAGATGAGGCCAGCACTGGCAGCATGACTAGGCTAGGCTTATCTGTAGGTAAAGTAGTAGACCTAGCGAGTACCTGTCAAACTTATATTTTATTAGGCCCTAATAATATTAATAATGTTATGTTATGTGTATGAAGCCATCCACCTGTCAGTTTCTTAACTCCAGGCTTAGTATACAATTTTTCATTTTTGATTTAATTCGCTATGAAGGGCGTGCTAGTGACAAGCAGATTACTCTAGAATCTGGCCTGCTTGATAAATTGTTACCTGGGGATGTAGTCCTTTGAAAGAGCAATTTGCATTAAGAAGTGTGAAGTTAGATTATCCATCTTTCACAAAAGGAAAATCCCAATTATCTTCCAAGGAAGTTGAAGAATCAAGACAATTGTCACAGGCTAGGATACATGTAGAGAGAATGATTGGACGCATAAAAGATTTTGAAATTTTGAAAAGCACCCTTCAAATTACAATGATTAAAAAAATTGTATGTGCCATTGTAAATACGAATTCCCCAATATTGTAAATTTATTAACATGATTAACATTCTAGGAAAGTAATAGACCAATTTATGAATTTATTGTAATGACATGTATTTATATATTTTTTCAGTATATATGGAGTTAAAATCTCTGAAATGAATATAACGTCCTGAGATGATAAAAAAATTCATTTTAATCATTTTTGAAATGAGCATCTATTCTTATTGGACCTAATTGGTATCATAACCATACAACAGAATCCCTGCATATGACAATAAATCCATAGAAATAAAGGTTATTATTTAAAAACGCTTAATATTCATATACAGGGATTCTGTTGTATAAATATGACATCAGGTAAGTCCAGGTATATTCATGTTGGCCAAGATTAAGAATTTGAATTTTTTGGTCATCCAAAGATTATGATTTGGCTCAATAATAAATTGTTATCTGTTGCTGTTATTCGGTAATTTTGTCTATTTATTTCACAAAATATTTTTATTTATTAATTTGTTATTTATTCCATAAGTTTTTAGAGGAACAGGTCTTGTCTTTTCGGGGGTTGAATATTAGTAGTCTTCAGAAATACTTGAAATGTGTGAAAAAATATGGTGAATTTGTCCCTTTAAATTTCAGCACCCTACGGCACTGTTCTAAATAGTCTATTTATTGATTCAAGTTGATTTGTTGTAGATTCAAGTTCTAATGCAAACAAAGTCTCTAGTCTAGAGGCATTTATCCTTCAGATTTAATTTGCATAACCCCCATTAAGAATAAGTCGCTTTCACTGTTGCAATAAATTTCAATTTAACATTTTTTAGGTTAGGCAATTGACTATGCAAATGAACATTTACAAAACAATCTCAAAATTACCAGCGTACGTTTGAACGACATTTAGAAGTGGAGAGTAGATATAACAAAAAAACGCAAGGGGTATATTATGGTATAACTCACTTCTTTAATTACAAAGCACATTACGTTTCAACACAATTTTCACGTGTCGTCATCATCTACCATAATATACCCCTTGTGTTTTTTTTGTTATAGAAAGACAGTGTTAGACCTTACTGTAGTGGTTACGTACAAAGCTAATAGCTAATAAAACATTCCAAACGAAACTAATAAAATACGAACGGAAGTTAGGGCTAATTTTAATTAGACTGCATGACGATACTAATTCATATACACAAGTACATGTGTATGAGATGGACAAGTTTTCAAGTACAAGTCCACAAAATGATGTAAACACCAAAAAACATATACATGAAAATTGAATAATTTTAAACAATCAAATTATCTTGGGTAGTGAAAGAAAACTAACATAATCTAGCACTTGGACCTACACTTCAGACATACCCACATACCCTTTGGAACATTTATTAACCCAACACACCTCAAATGATACCATTTAACTCTACATTTTTTACTGTCACACAATATCATATTGTCAAAGGATTCCTCATTTCCACAAAAACAATATTTTGTTTAACTGCTAATCATTTCTTCATCTGTTATGTTTTTAGTTAAAATTTCTGGTAAGACAATGTTGAGAAAATAAAGCTTTAATTTTGGACATAAAATTTGACAAAATTCATCATCCTTATTTATACGTTCAATATGAATACCTTTTGGAGTCCAGCTGACAAAGTCACAAAATTGTGCATTCATAACAAACATTTGATCCTGAATCTGAAAAAAGTACTTGTGGTCAACTTTAAGTGAGGGTGAGCATACATCTTGCAATTTTGAATGAGCAGTCAAAAATCCCCCTTCATACTGACATGGAAATGAACATTTTTGGGTAAAGGGGCATTTAACTTCCACCAGGCCACCGCCACAACAATCACAATTTGTTACACCATCTGGGGTTGCTCCAATGAATGGATACTTCAGACTGATATTGAAACCAGTTTCTTTACAACAAAAATTTACATGATTCTTGGACAACAATTCCTTATATTGAGAGAGAGCATCTTTTTCATGTGATATTCCTCAAGCAATGGCTTCAGATTTAATACAATTGTTATCTTTTCCATACTGCATAATTTTTTTTAGTAAAGACACACTTTTCATTGAAATTAGATCAGTATGTGAAATTTCATAGAAGTTTGAAGCTGTCAATCTACCTTTCCTATATGCAAACCAAGCACTATTTTGTCTTTGATCTCTCGTTGCATCTGAAAGTTTTTCAATCTGATCTGCATAGATATCATTTTCAATACTCATTAATGTTTTATTACACAATACTTTCAGTTCTTCAGAGGACAAAGTAGAATTCTTCTCGTCAAAAAAAGTGTCCATCAGTGGAGGAAAAGTTGGTTGTTGTAGTTTTTGAACATTTGGAGTAGTAACAGAAAAAATTACTGTATTTGGCTGTGAAACTTTTAATCTTTTCAAAAAGTTGGTTGTGTCTTTGAATATATAATTTCTTTTTAAATGTAGGGAATCTTTATGATCTTGACCTCTTTTTGGCTTCCTAAAATCAATAATGGCAGCCTTTTCTCCTTGCACCTGAAAATATCAATGGTCATTGTTTTGAAGACATTAAAAAATCCAACATATAAACTTACAATACTAAGTCAAAGTATCAAGAAAATCCTTTGAGCAAATTGATAGCACATAAGATAGCTTGCCAGGCAAATGGACATGTGGTAATATAATTGTAAAATGCCCTCAAGCATTGATATCATTTACCATATTTTTTGCATGCTAGATCTCATCAAAACTTTAAATCTTACCTTTTTGGTGAAAGTTTGATTCCACAAACATGGAAGAGATGTACATGCTGGTTCTTTATTCATTTCCACTCTCCCACAAGCTTCAATCTTGAACAGAATGGATGCTACATGTGAACAAACACTGCCTTGTCTGAAAATGAAGATATATTATGATATTCATGCATTGATATTTCAAATTCAGAGGGAGTGGGGGAGGAATAATGTAGATCATCTGTAAAGTTCTTTAGATACACTGGTCACAGGCATCTGTTTCTATCAATGGTCGACCCTCTCTATAAAAGTATACTACACAAGTGAAGGTTGTCATTCAATAATAATCCTATTGACATTGATAACTAACTTTCTTCATGTTGAACCATAATATTATACTTACCCAGCCATACATGTACAGTGCCAAGTAATGATATTTCCACTACTCCAAGTCATAGCCACCCATGCCTCATGTGGTTTATCTGTCACAGCTTGAGATCTGTTAATTCTTCCTTAAATAACTACTGCGTTTCCTACATTCTTCACAAAGCATGTCTGAACCCATCCACTCTCATACTGGTTAAAAGCCTCCAAAGACTTGTAGCACTTCATGAATTCTCTGGTAAAAATGCCAGGCGACTCCACCAAATAAACATAAATCTGACCACTTTCTAACATCATCTATCCATGTTGAATCTTCAATAAAGGGATCTTCAAGCAATGGATTTGCAAAACCAATAGATGACAACTTTCTAATGTAAGATTCCTTGCCTGTTAACGGCAAACATAGCGCTCATAGTTAATGCAGACGATACGGCGCCATTCTTGCCCTACACATGATGCACATGCGTTACCAGAAGAGGGGAAATCTGTGACATCGACGTTAGTGAAAGATAGCTTGCCAGGCAAGGTAATATATGCCCACTGATAGCTTTGTTTGAAATTGAATATTTGTTAGAAAATAGCAAACATAGACACCAGGAAATATTCAACTTAAACCCAAATCCATCACAAACTGTGCCATCACAAGTTAAAAATCAAACACATTTGTAATAATTACGGCAATAACTTGTATTTTATATTTCAAAAGGTTTAGTTTTGATTGTGATCAATTTCATCAAGTTGTCAAATTTGTTTTAGACTTCTGCTTTGTAGAATAAAAATCAAGTGTTTTACAAGATTTTTGATCAGATTTATCCTTGGGTGATTTCAATAAGTCTGTCATGAATTGTGTATTTGCAGATTTTATTCAAGCAAATTAGGTTGAAATATTTTTTTAAAAGTTTTATGTATCGAGTTTATGACAGGTGGGAGTTGCTAATATTTACCACCTTTTTTCTCCTGTTGAATTTAATCTTTTTATATCCTTACATTTTTTTTCTCGAAGATTTGATTAGTTTGCATGAAATGCAATGGATTTGTAAGTATACTTGATTGCAGCTGTCTTGGCTAATAAGGACAAGAAAAGAATTGAATTTTACTATTATGACAGTCAAGAATTGTGCCTCCTAGAGTGTTTACGAGCTAAAAATTGAATGCGTTTTCAAGAACAAGGGCAATAATTCATACTAAATATTTTTCGATTTCCCTGATTTTTCTATAGGGTTTATCCTTGGGTGAATACGAACACTCATACCAAGTTTCGTCAAAATCTGTCAAGAATTGTGCCTTCTAGAGTGTTTACGAGCTAAAAATTGAATGCGTTTTCAAGAACAAGGGCAATAATTCATACTTAATATTTTTTGATTTCGCCCTTCTAGAGTGTTTACGAGCTAAAAATTGAACGCGTTTGCAAGAACAAGGGCAATAATTCATACTAAATATTTTTCGATTTCGCTGATTTTCAATAGGGTTTATCCTTGGGTGATTACGAACACTCATACCAAGTTTCGTCAAAATCTGTCAAGAATTGTGGCTTCTAGAGTGTTTACGAGCTAAAAATTAACAAGGGCAATAATTCATGCTAAATATTTTTCGATTTCGCTGATTTTCAATAGGGTTTATCCTTGGGTGAATGCGAACACTCATACCAAGTTTCGTCAAAATCTGTCACGATATTTTTTGATTTCGCTGATTTTCAATAGGGTCTATCCTTGGGTGATAACGAACACTCATACCAAGTTTCGTCAAAATCTGTCAAGAATTGTGCCTTCTAGAGTGTTTACGAGCTAAAAATTGAACGCGTTTGCAAGAACAAGGGCAATAATTCATACTAAATATTTTTCGATTTCGCTGATTTTCAATAGGGTTTATCCTTGGGTGAATGCGAACACACATACTAAGTTTCGTTAAAATCCGTCAATAATTGTGCCCTGTAGAGTGTTTACGAGCAATTGTGGACGGACGGACGGATCGACGGACATGGGTGACGACAATATACGCCCCCCATTTCATGTGGGCGTATAAAAAGGTCTATACAGACTAGTTGGATTAGAGCAGATAAAATTCTACTAACGAGCTGATATTTTTATTTATTTTCATTTTATATACATTTACACTACATTACAAGCCAACAAGATGGGAGACATCATCTCCATACTAATTCATTGTCTGTTATTCTGAAGCCAGACTTTCAGACGGTCCAGTTCATGCTCCATTTGGCGATACAGTCTCTTCTTGGGGCGTTTCTCACTACCAAACTGCAGCTGACTGATGCTTACTTCTGCCATTGCTTGTTCAGACATTATCAGGGTGATGAATCTGAAGATGTTAGGTGGTCATTTTGTTCATTTTTGTATCACCTACCGGTCTCTAACTTGTTCTGGGGGTGTAGCTTTCATATTGTGTACAGGTCAAGAAAAAAAATCTGGATATTTGCCTTGAAAAATCTGGAGATTTGGTGAAAACTCCAAATTGATTATTTTTTTTTTTCAAAAAAGCCTTAAGCCTTGTAAATTAATTCAATTGATCATAGGCCTATATGACATAGTGAACTTAATTAAAACTAGAGCCACATGTGGCACAGAGTGGGACTTTGCAAATATAGAAAAATGCGAAAAAATCAACCTTCTACGATAATTACATCACAAGCAAGAACAGTCTAAAGTTGAGAAGTTTTGATTCTTTGGAAGATTGTTATACCGGAAGTAGACAGACCTCACAAATGAAAGTATCAGAAGATAGCCAAGGTCAATGACATTTGACATTGAAAAGGAGACGGTCAACAAAAGTCAAGGTTACGAGATACAAGTCATCAAAATTTTGAAATATATACGGCTATAAAACAGGAAGTTGAGATAGGACAGTAAATATAAAAGAATAAAAAGAATTTTCAAAACCTGTTCCCTTTTTTGAACTATAAAGCTGAAATAATGGAACAGATGAAGTAATTGTATGTAAAGTTCCATTTTGAACAAATGTATATGTTGCGAGCTATGTCCCTTGCCAAAAATGTCAATAATGAGTAATTTAACCCGGATGTGCCACGCCCACCTCAATTTCTTTTGCATAGGTTAATTGATATTCTAAATGTTATGTTGTGTTCCAAATTTAAATCTTCTACATCATACAGGTCAAAAGATATAGGTCAACAAATGTCAATGAAGGTCAAAATAGAAAATTGAAAATATGGAAATTTCCTTTTTTGGAACTATAAAGCTGAAACAATTGACCTATTAACACAAACTGGCCAAAATAATGAGGTAATTGTGTGCGAAGTTCCTTTTTGAACAAATATATCCTATGCGAGTTATGCGAGAAAAATAGCTAATTAGCATAAGTCTGGGATCCAAATTAAAGAATTTTGATTCCTTGTTCCTTGTTTTCAATGTCATAATTTAGTTAATTTATTCAAATATCAAGAATATGAATCGGATTGGAAGTTGTTGTTTTTGAAATTTAAGCCTGTTTGGTTTCGAATACAAAAATGAAAAAAAAGATAGCTGTGCTGAAATTTCAAACTTTGGAAATACTATATTCTGATGATATGCAACCGGAAACACAACTTAAAGATGTCAAGCTAGTACTGTCTTCACAATGGTCAATGTTTTGCAAACTCTGTCTTATACCTCGACTACAATAGCCACTTTTTTGATTGACGGAATGCAGCGATTTGATTAGATTGTATGCCAGCAGAGTTGAAAAGATCAAAATTTTTCATGCAAATTTCTTTTCTACAAAAAATTAAAATTTTGAATTTTTTTTACAGGACACATAGATACATCTTGTTACATAGAACTTACATAATAAAGAATATTCAAAGTAAAGCGGTCACAGCAGAATTGCTATATCAATTTCAGATTCAGAAAAGCAAGAAAATCTGGCCTCTGAACCAATCTGGCATAACTAAATTCTAACTATAAACAAATCTATCTTTTATAAAAAATGGGTTCACAGTAGGAATAAGATTTTAACACGATCTGTTAGATCAATATGTCAACTTTCTGACCTATGATGAATTGTGTGACAAGTTTTACTTCAAACCACATTTCACAGAATATTTGGCTTTAAAATTAAACATACACAATATTACAAAATGTTTAAATCCTACAACCAGGTATTCCATATATTACCCAAATATTAACTCAGAGCGAACAAAACTCAAAAACTATTTATGAAAGCCTAGTAAAAACTATCCCTTACTCAACAAAACACCAAGAAAAATGGAGATTGGTAATAAATGAACACACAAACAATCAGCGGACCTTTTGAATGCACTCACGATGCCAGTTTACTGTGGTTGCAATACCGAATACTTCATAGGATAATAGGTACAAACTCTTATCTCCATGTATAAAAGACCAGCCTAACTGTGATTGTTGCAAATATGCCATAGTCTCTGTTGTGTTCACCAACAAATTTTGACGCTTTTTTCTTAAGTCAAGGGCACTAACTCCAAAACCTTTCATTGAAAGATCATCAAATTCGAACTTGACCAGGATCTCATCAATATAAATGATCACACCAAATTTCATTAAAATCAGTTAAAAACTGTAGTCCTTATTGTGTTCACAAACAAATTTTGACACGTTTTTTTTTAAGTCAAATGCAATAACTTAAAAAAAATGCATTGAAAATGCGTCAAGTTAGAACTTGTCCGAGATCTTATCAATACCAATGATAACACCAAGTTTCATCAGAATCAGTTGAAAACTGTAGCTTCTATCATGCCCACGAATAAATTTTGACGCGTTTATACTAAGTCAAGGGCAAAAACTCAAAAACCGTTCATTGAAAATGTATCAAGTTAGAACTTGTCCGAGATCTTGTCAATTTCAATGATCACACCAAGTTTCACCAGAATCGGTTTAAAACTGTAGCTTCAATCCTGCTTACGAAATATTTTTAACAAATTTTGATGCGTTTTATCCCTTTAACTGTCAAATATTTTTTAAAGAAAATTTACATTTTGTGGTACCTTTTTTCAAAAGCATGTGGCTCCAAAACTGTGGGATGTAGGCACCAAGTGTCAATAAATAAAATGTTCAGTGATATTTGTATGTTACCATGGAAATATT